TTGCTGCTTGCAGCTACATTATTATATTACAGTGGTAAGTCAAAATTTTACAGTTTTGCTGTCAGTGATGGAACTGTGATGTTATCACTCTTCTGTCTTTTAAAAAATAAAATGGAAGCCTCAGTCGACAAAACTAATTAATTAATAACATCATTACTAAAATCCGAATATGTACACATATACATTTCTATACTTGAATATTACTTCCTTGCATTCATGGAATGCATTTCCTCTGGGTCCACTTGATGCCTTCTAAATATTTTCTATAAACACAAAATAAATATAATGATTCAACACAAAAGAAACAAAATTACATCTGATGACAAAACTGTAAATACTGACAACGGCGTCACTGATACATGATAATAGTTAACCAATGAAAACGTCGGTCACTAAACTTCCAACACTCCAATCGAATAGATTCCACAATATTAAATAATGAACTTTAAACATCAGTTTGATTAATTAATGTTCACATTCATGGCATTTGTATTATTTTTATACGAATTTATTATGATTTACACGATAAACAATTGTGAGATTACCTTACCTGAGTGTGATCGTAGTTGTGCTGGATTTTGATAGTTTGGGGGCTTCTGTATTACTTCATAAACATTTGGTACAATTCCATTCAAATTTAATGTGGTGTAGTTGTTCTCCTTTGTCACGTTTGTGTCACAAGTGTCATTTGGAGTCTTTTTCGTGTAATGCCTACAAGTACACAAATATATACAAATTCACTGTAAAATAATTCACTGTATGTATTCTATATAAAACGCACTCGTCAAATCATGTTATTTGCACATACTTTTTTTAGTGGAAAAGCTTATTACTATAACTATTACTATTATATTGAATTTTAGCATATTCCTTATTTAGACGGGAATATGTTCGAGTGGCGGTTAAAAATGCTCTGTCGCGAGATGATGGTCTACTATATGTGTAATTATTTGCTGCCGGGACTCATTTCACACGAAAAATGCGAAGATTACCAGAAATGTTTTGCAATTGCGGTTTTAACCATTTTGGCAATGTTCGGCAACGTCTGCCACGTGACACTTACGTAAACAAATACTTAATATGTATACATATATTACAGGTTCAAGAAAATATTCTGAATCGGAGTTTGAATTGAGTTTGACATTATGTACAGAATGATTTATTCTGATACGATATCACACAATTTTAAACCTAATGTTAACTGTAGAATAACCAGACGAATTTAACATATTCGACAGTGTAGTAAAATTTTTGTTACTGTAGAATACTTTATTTTCGCTTGCAATTAATTTTCATTATTTTCGCTGAAGGAATGATTCAGTGAAAATACAATCCATCGAATATACCTTTTTCTCTATATTTTACATTAAACTTGTCACGAATCAAAATAAATTTCATACAAAACACCCAAAAAGTCTTTTCAGCAAAACTTTATTCCAGCTAATATAATGTATTTTACAGTATGAATGTGTATAAAAAAAACTGATAAAGAGTGCAGATAAGTATAAGAATTCGCTGTAACTAACATAAAAAATCTTACCTTAGTTTTAAATAACCTATTAATAAACCCAATAATATACCCATACCCAAGCATACCAATGCCACAGCTACGAGAACACCTAGAAGTTATAGATTGAAAAAATACATTCACAAATAGGTAATGATTGTATTATAAGGATATTGCGTATTACCTTATAGTTAAACATTTAAGGACGTTACATGCAATACATTACGATAAAGAAGTATCGTATGATAAATATAAAAGTGTCGACTAAAAGTACATACTCTATAACTTAAATACAAGATGCCATACCTGTAGAAATATTTCCATCATTAGATGCGTCTGTCAGTGGTTGTGTAGCATTATACTTATTTGTCACCATAGGAGAAATGCTTTCTATTGAAATATACATAAAAGAAATACATAATCTATGCATACACATGTACATTGTCATACATAGCACACTAACTAATCTATATTGAATGTCGGAAGTATCTAAATATATGTAAGAAAATATATGTATAAAAAGACTAGACTATTTTACACAGTACAGTGCAATTATATATATTCACATTGATACTTAATCTTTAAATACTCGTCACTGCGTTGTTAAGTATAAGTGTTACTTTATTAATGTGATATATTATATAATTCTATTTCTTGAGTTTATAATTATATATATTTTATAATCATGATATGTTCTGCTAACCGTTACACACGATACGTGTAGTATTCCACTGCATATTGCTCTCGCATGAAGTCACCAATGACGTCACAGCTTCATAACCAACATGACATCTGTATGTACATTGACTACCATAATTCACACCATTTGTACAATACGATAATTCAGCAGCTACCACTAATGGTGCATCATAGCATGATATAACTGAAACAAAGAACCGTGTTGCTGATTTCGTATGTAGTCAAATGATAATTACAACTGATATTTACCAAGGGATTCGGTATTTACTATAAAAGGTTTGTGTGCGTATTCTTGTAAACGTAATTTTTAGATTTTCAATTGTCATTATAGTTGTGCTCGTCTGCTTGTCAAGTTTTCTCTTAGATACAAATGAAACGCGTACGGTAGTGTGTCTACCTTTACAATATTGTTGAAGTCAATTGTAAAACTCATATTTTTAGCAGTAACTGCACTTTTTAAGAGAATTTAGATTCATCATTTGGCTATTTGTATTTAATATTTTAGTATATTTTAATTTGTTTATATATTCTTAGAAAACTATTAGTTGCATTATGTTTTTTTATATACGTTGGTATTCCTATTAAATAAATTAACATTATACATGATATTGCAGGTTATACG